GCATGGGTCATGTACAAGCCCACGTTTGAATGTTATTTAAAAGCCTGCAAAAATCAATGATCAGACCCAGTCCAACTAGAATTAGTCTTAAACGCACCGTTAATACATAAACACAAACTAAGGAGACCTCTCCATCCGATTCGAATCAAATTATGTGTTCTTCATCTTCTTCCTCAATCCTCTGGGCGAGACGAACACTACATATCAGGAAACCTAAATTTCACCGAGAAATATAAGGCTCGAGAAAATCACAATAACGCTAAGACAAGATGACAAAGCACTAGGGACATGAACCCTAGGGTTAGCAAACCTCTTTCAAGGGTTCTTTTGCAAATGAAAAGTTCGATGAACACAATAATAGACATGGTCGCCGTAATCGTGTTAGAAAGAGATAGGCGAGGGGAAATACAATGGCGAAGAAGAAACAAGACAAATTTTTTTTGGGAAATTCAATCTACGTCGAATGTGGATGGGGAGCTTCTCTTGGAACTGTGAAGGGGCGTCCCTCCAAGACGAGAGAGGGATCGTGTAATTGGTTAGGGAGACTGGAAATTGGTTTGGGCGGCAGTGGGTCTACCCAATTGGGTTTGGGTCTTAATCCATTTAATTTAATCGGGGCAGTTAGTTGGACTAGGATGAAAACAAACTTAACGCGGAGGAGGCTTTTTGTAATTTGTTTAGTTATTTAGTGGCGCAGTTAGGTTTAACAAACGTGAGCCGTGGAGATTGAAAACGAACGGTTAAGATCGGCCAAGGTACCTGTACCCCGCTTTTGCCCTGGGCACCGTAGAAGTCACCATATATATATATGGTGGCGTATTCGGTGCACCCGCATCATAATTGTCATTCTGACCATGCGATTCATGTCAAAACGGTATCAATTGTTGCTTATGATATTATGAACAAGAAGCACATGAATTTGAAAAAAATTAATTCAAAATTTACTATAATTTGAATGATTTAGGATTTAGGGATTTAGGGTTAGGGTTTAGGTTTACAATTGGGGATTTTGGGTTGGGATTCAAAATTGAAGGTTAAGGGGTTAGGGTATTGGATTGATTTGTTATGGTTCTATGTCATATCATCATATTATATTCAGAGTACTAATTAAAGTTCAAAATTTGATGTATTATGGACGCTTTTAGAGTTGGGTGCACTGAGTGCACCCAAAAAAGTGAGTGCACCGAAGTAGTCACCTATATATATATATATATATATATGTGGCTACTTCGGTGCACTCACAAAAGTGAGTGCATTCAATGCACCCAACTCAAAAACTAGTCTTAAGGTGTCGGATTTTGAATTTTAATTTGTAGATTAGTGTAATATGATGATATAACATATGATCACAACTAATTAACGGATTACCCTAAGCCCTAGACCTCCAATTTTGAATTCTATCCCTAAACCCCAAATTGTAAACCCTAACCCTAAATCTCTAAACTCTAAATCCTTCAAATTAAAGCAAATATTGAATGATTTTTGTGCAAATTAATGTGCTTTATTGTTCATCACATCATAAGTGATGATTGACATCATTTGGACATGAATCACATGTTTATAATGACGGTTATGAAGCGATAGCATTGAATGCACCCAAAAAAGTGAGTGCACTAAAGACACCACTATATATATATATATACACACACCATAGAGATAGTGATAGCTGGTGGCTACTTCGGTGCACTAACTTTTTTGAATGCACCCAACTCTAAAAGTGGTCGTAATACATCAAAGTTTGAAATTTAATGGTAACATTAGTCTAGTATGATGATATAACACAAAATCACAACTAATCAATGCATTACCCTAACCTACTAATCTTCGATTTTGAATCCCAACCCAAAATCTCAAATTGTAAACCCTAATGTTAACCCTAAATTCCTAAACCTTAAATCATTCAAATTAAAGTCAATCTTGAATGATTTTCTTACAAATTCATATGGTTCTTGTTCATCATACCACAAGTGATGATTGACATCGTTTTCACATGAATCGCCTGCTTAAAATGACGATTATGAAGTGGGTGCCTTAAATGCACCACAAAAAAGTGAGTGCACCGAAGACATAACCATGATAGCTTATTTATATGATCCCTTCATAATAATATTATTATTATTATTATTATTATTATTATTATTATTTGTATGAAATTATGTGATGGATTAATTCGCCGGAAGTGTGACAAAAACTCAAGCGGTCAAGCCTCTCTTTGCACGGCTCCTCATTCTTGCTCTAATTTCTGAATGTGAACTGGTCAGTGTTCACGATCCATTACTGAAACAACTGCATAGCAATCCACTGCACGCGGTTTCTGTTATGCATTTTGCCTTTGCTTTACTACTTCCATCTCTGCAATATCTCATCAGTCATCAGCTACAACTGTAAAGTCAAAATCTAACGATAATTGGGAGGCAAGTAAAGACAAGACCGAGTTAAACCCATAAAAAGTCAGGAACTCGCCAGCCGCAAACCAAATCCCCTTCCAGAAAACCAGGTACTAGGAAAGAAAACACACACATTACTACTAATATTGCGTATGAGCAACCTCTGCAAAATCTTGCCTCATCATCACACCCATCTCCAAACTTCTCCTGGCCATTAGAATTTGTTTTGTACTTATGAAAATGCATGTAGTTGGGAATACATAAACCTTGCAAATGAAGTAATCCTATGAATACGCTATACAAAGGTTGTGTTGGAGAACTTACCAAGTCATGTTTAAACGGGAGAAAAAAGCTTATTAGAATTTAGAGGAGACATAATACATAATTGGTAAGTGTTGTCATGTCGGCTTCCTGACGGCCGGTACAACCAGTACCAATTACCAAATCGGCCGGCAAGGGGCCAATATATAGCATATGTAATATCTGGTCAGATCTAGGAATTTCGGCTGGTTAGACTAGAAATCGTAATTTAGTGAAATGAAATCACACATTATATCCAAAAATAAACACCTTTTATATGACTAGATTTGTCATACAACCATTCCAAATTCAGATTATTTTGTGTATTTCTTCAATAGTGGCTATTATTGTCACAAACTCGAAAGTTGTTGTCATGTTGGTGTATTTTGCCTATTGCAATCCCAAAAGAAAATGATATACGAAACTCTATGTAAAACGGATTGGCCTGTAGAAGAAGATGTTACAATAAGATAATAACCTTTTTGTCTATTTATTTGGTAAGATAATAATTTTTTTTACTAGTACCCTACAATACCTGAACTATGAACAAATGTCACTACTTACTAGTGTGCTATTCTATTCAATATTTCATTTCTGTTCTGAATTATATATTTTCTGTTAATGTTGACCGACATTGACCGTTAATATTTAACTGAAAGTTTAGTAAGTGTTGATACGACATCTGACATGATATTTAGAATTAATTTTTATTTAACAAAATAATAATTAAAAAAACAAATAATCTATCTAAAATCTTCTCATTCCTTCTTCCCCAGTTCTTCGCCGGCATCTACGTGTGCCACATCACCATTGGTCAATGTCGGCAGTGATGGACCCAGGAATTTTACATAGGGATGTCATCTTTCAAAAAAGTAAAATTAAATAATTAATAATTAATAAAATTATATTATTCTTAAATAAGAAAATACCCAACTCGCACAAGGTAAAAAAATTCAATGATGTATTTTCATATTAAAAAAAAAAGTTATAAAATATACTTGGTGTCTACACTGCTCAACATATTTGTCTCGGTATATCCTACTAAACAATCATTCACGAACTCATGCACATTTTACTTTCAAATTTGTTCATGATGTAACTCAAAGCTAAAAAAATACTTTCAACACTTGTCGTACAACCATAAAATCAATACAAATTAATGGCAGCTTTTAATTAGATTAATTGTTAGGTTTTGAAAAGAATTAAAGATAGAGAATAGGATTTTGCTATTACACAGTGTTTAGAATATAACAACAAAAAATTTGTAGCCTAATGAAAATTATATCTATTAGTAATAGTAGTGTCTGGGGTTTGAATTTCCCAAGCTACCACTTATATTTATATTCCCATACGCAAACTACAAACAAGAGTAGTATAATCGTTCTTTCAAATTTCAAGGTGTCCCGAACTATTATTTATATTTTTTTTGTTTATACGTAAATTACCACCAGGGGTTGGATAATCGATCTTCCAAAATTTAGGGGTGTCCTGGGACACCCCTAAATGTCCCTGGGTCCGCCCCTGAATGTCGCTAAGAGAACATGTCTGGTCATTCGTAATTTATAACGATCAACAAAAGCGTGAGTACGTAAATGACACAAAACTAACATATGATATGGCATAAATGAAATATTGAAAAGAATAAAATGCAAGTGATATTTTATAATAGTTCGAATATTATAGTAGTATTAGCCCTTCAAATTTCTAAGGTACATAATTTTCATCGAAAACATTAATATTTGTACGAAATTCGTAGCTTCATTTGAACCTTGACACGAGCAAAAGTGTTGCCTTGTTCTTAGAGCACACTTCTCTAATCAAAAGGGTTCTAGCTTAGCTTCTATTAGATTCTTTCCAAATCCCACAAGCCTTTCTCTCCACCAGGCTTTTACACGTTGGCTCTACATAATCCTACGTGTACCAAACATGCCACATCCTTAATTTTTGTTGTTGCCTTGTCCCAAAAGCCATAACCAATTTCGTTTGGAGCCTCCCCATAACTGCCAACTGTCACCTTCAACTCTCTCTCTCTCTCCACCGACTTCCTTCCAAACACCGCCATTTCCCTCTCCTCCCCCCTTATATAAACCTCCTCACTTCATCAATTCAGAAAGAGAAAGAAAAAAACACTCTGAATCCAGAGAATCACCGCGTCAAATTCTGCAGCCAACATCACTCATGTTCACCTTTCATCAGAAAAACAAAAATGGCGAAGCTTTCATGGTCCAAGTTGCGATCTTTCCTCCTTCCCCGAGGTGGGTTTTCCACACTTTCCTCTGTTTTCACGATCCCCTGTAGTTTTTCCTTTTCTTAATGGGTCTTTCCTCTCTTTGTTTTGCTTCAGGGGTTTCGAAGAGTGAGGGTTCATCCGGTAGCTTGGGGAGCAAGCTAAATGTGAGCGAGGAGTACAAGGAAGCATTCCGCACGGAGTCTTATGTACAAATGTGGACGGAACTCCAAACCAAGCTAATCGACCGCCGCCACTCGTCCTCGTCATCTTCCTCTTCCACATCATCCTCATCGTCCACCATACCTCCGGGATACCTACTCCGGCCCCAGCCGGAGCAGGAAACCATCACCCAGTTAGTAGAAAGGTTCGATTGCCACAGGCTTCTGATCGACTATTTCGAGTCGAGCTCAGAAGCCTGTGATCTCTGCGAGTTGCTCCTCCTGTCGGTGCAAAGAACTCGCTTGCATTATGCCAATATCACGAGGGTGATCAAGACGAGCCAGGGGGTAGAAGGTTTTACCTGCAAGGTCTCTGCAGGGATGTACAGAGACCTTGCTTCGTACGCAAGGCACGCGAACCCTTTGAGTCTCGTCAGACCGGTCCAGTTTCAAGAGGTTCATAATGGGAACACGTTGCTCCTGCGAGAGCTGACTCGAAAGAAGAAGAGTATTCGGAGGAGGGCCAAGGCGAATCGGATCTTGAGGAAGGTTGGTGGATGTGGGCTAGTGGTCCTCCACATGACACTAGTGGTTTCCATGCTTGTGATTGCCTTACATAGCTTTGTGGGGATTGTGGCGGCACCAGCTATTGTAGGTTGTTCATCCTCTTGCTTGTTGGCCAAGAAAGGAAAGAGGAGAGCATCGTTGGTTATTCATGGGCGGCTCAATGTGGGCCTGATGGAGAGAGTGTGCAGGCAGTTGGATCTAGCAGCAAAGGGGACGTTCATCCTCATTAACGATTTCGACACAATGAGCAGGCTAGCAACGAGCCTAAACAACGAGGCGGAGCACAGGAAAGTGCTCTCCGCGATGTGTGTGAGGAACAACAAGAACGAGGAGCTGTTGAGGCTGGTGGTAAGGGAGCTTTGCGACCACAATGCTTGCTACCTTGAACAGCTAGAAGAGCGCGAGGAACATGTGTATTTGTGCTTTCATACGATTAATCGGTCGAGGAGGTTCGTAATGCAAGAGATGATGATTGGGGAGGAAGAGTTCGGGTTTGAGGGCAAAGAGGAAAAGGTGAAGGATTATGATGGTGATAGTAAAATTGATTAGCTAAATAGAGTTCCAGATGGGCAATTGAAAGCCGCCATTGAATTTGTTTCTAGGTAATATGCAATCAATTCTTAACTAGTTTGAGATTCTTTCGTGATTTCAATGTACAATTTAAAATGTAGCCAAGATGATACCTTATTGTTTATGCTGTTTAAATATAGAGATCCTCCTCAGTTTCCAAAAGGAACTGACAAGTCAATTTCAGTACTAGGTAATAATCTTAACTTGTTGATCACACTCAGAAAGGCAGTTTTTTTTAAACCAAACCATACCTCATTTCATTTCAACTTCTCAAGAAATCCGCAAAACTCAATCCCTAACATAAATTTCAATTTGCTACAGGCTAACACAACAGCAATGTGGTGAGCTTCCTTCTTGCTACTTGGAAACCACTTGACCCCGAAAAGCAAGTGGTGAAACAGCATTTGAGTCTGCACATTTTCCAGGGTCCAAACTCCAAACCCTGTAGAACAAACCTGAGCTGCAATAACAGCAGCAAGCTGAACCCAAATGCGAGTGGTTTGACTTTGATATTTCATCGAATCTGGAGAGATTCCATCAATCAGTTCAGCACCCTTTTTCTCTCAGCTTTGCATACTCTTCGCGACTCAACAACGAAGCCTAGACCTTTAACCAGTCTGCTGGCCTTGGCATGATGATGGCAACATATCCCTCTCTATCCGCCTGCAAAATTCAAGCACCGAAACCAACTTGAAATTGAAGCAAACAAGTTGTGGGCAGATTTGCAGACAAAGTCAGCAGATCTCAAACAATAAGGCTACATCACTTGGATGAGTTTCGGTGATGAACAGATAATCGCGATTTCTCACCGAGGTATTGACCAAACCAGGCTGCTTGATGAGCCTCTCATTCACGTCCAACCATGAACCTTTCACACAACACCTGATCATAATAAGCATTACCCAACATAGAACTTAAAATCTTCCATAATTTTGATGAAACAAAACCAGTTCTAACATCACAATGTAGGAATCCCCTTTTGTGCTAACTTTACACATTGCTGTATTGGACTCAAAATGCTGGGCATTCGGCCAAAAAGAAAACAACTTTCAATTAACTCACTCCAGAAAGAGCTCTATACAGAATGAAGTATCATTCCTTCTACTCAAAGAGTTAAAGTTGTAACCTCTTTGCGTTTCCCAGTGACCTTCATACCGCTACGATCCGACTTGCGTTGAAATCGACGGCGGTGATCCCTCCTTCGTCCTTAAACACCAAATGGCCAGGAGCCAAACCAATCACACACAGCCTGTAAAATTTCACAGAGCTCAAAACCAAAAATCAAACAAACAAAAACCCATTACTGTATACATTGAGAGAAATCATGGGTTACCCATTGGCATGTCTGTAAACGTACTGGTCGTGCCCTGGCTTCACAAAATCTGTGGACAAACCCCCAAATGAAAAATTAGATAATTACAAGAGAAAGGAGGGAAAACTTAATCAATTTGGACAAACCTGGAGCGAAATAGGAGGCGAAGTTGGTTTCGACGGCGGAAGGAGGACTGGCGGCGAGGATTTCCCGGGTCGGGAACCAGCAGCTTCCGCAGCTGTTCGTCGTCTTCAACGGGATGAACAAATTCTGGCTTCCCCTGTTTTTCTGGGTCGTTGGATTCGTGGACTGTGTAGTCCGCCATCGAATCCAACGCGTGAAAGGAAATTGAGGAAGGCGAGTTTTTGTTTTTGCCGGAAGTCGAAGTCAATGAATATGAGTTTCGGGTTCCGATTAGGGAGTTACTTCTCCGACGTGTGACGACTGCGCAGTCCGGATCGTTTCTCCTTTTTCTGCAAATTTGGTGCCCCGGCCCGGCCTTTGGAAAATGGATTGGGCTGCCGGGAATGAGCTTGGGCTGGATTTAGCTAAAAGGCCCCAAATTGAATTTTGCTGTTGTCAAAACCGAACTGCAGCATGATCCGGTAATGTGAACGGTTCATACTTTAATTGTCCAACCGACATTAGACCGTTTAAAAACCGTTAGAGAACCGGTACCTAATAAACGTCATCAATATAAATAGTTGACCCTTCTTAATCAGAGTTCGTCTCTTTCCTTCGAAATGTTGAAATAGAAATTAGGTTTCAGTTTGAGAGCCCGACGTTTTTTATTTTTATCAATTTATTTATTTTCTGAATTTTTTTAATTAAACTTAATGGCTTAATGGCAAAAACCGGACGAGCGGCTCGAGCGCTTAACCGCCTCGGCCGCTTGCCAGCCGCTACATAAAACCGAAGCGGTTTTTAGACTGTTTCGAGCCGCTTTGATGACCGGGTGACGGTTTTACCGGTCGGACCGGACGGCTCGGTTCGGCTTTAATAACACTGGAATTTTGTCAAACTAGATCTAGGCCCAGTCTGGATTGGACTGCCCACTAGCTCGACGATTCTGGAGAATCATTGGGTTGAACTCAAACATTGCGGCAACTTTGGAAGCTTTGGCACTCCGAGATTGTCTTTTTAAGGATCGACGGTGGACACATGTGGTCGTGACTGGGGATGCTCAAGTCATAATTGACCAATGTTCTAAGCGGCAGGTTTGGGATTCCACTATTGGTGCAATTCTTCGGGAGATTGCTCTGCTCTTGGATGAATCGGTTGGGATGGTGTTGCGGTTTGTTGGTCGTCAAGGTACTAGAGAGGCTCATTTGGTGGCTCGAAAAACTTTGTTTTTGTCACCTCGGTTGATTCACAGGTTCGACTATGTTTCATGGCTCCATAGTTTATAGAGCCTTTGTATTTTGGAACATAATCTTCTTTTTTCTCTTTGATCAAGAGATCTGACAAAAAAGAAAGATCTAGGATCAATAATCTTGTGTTTTGTTATTTGGCTAAAAAATCTTGTGTTTTGTTGTCTTGTCAACATGTATCTCTTAGACGAATAAAGTCACCAAGGTCTTAAGTCGATCAATCATAATCTTAGCCTATTAGGGTTAGGGAATTCGAGCTAGTCCGAGATTGAATTCGTATATTAAGAAGCAAACGAACGTGATATAATTAAAATGCAATTCTATTAATTAATATTCCTAGCATATCATTAAATATTAATCATTGTAGTCACTCTCATCTAAGTCATCCCAAATTAGTTATAGCTAGCTAACCCATGCATATCTTTTTTTTTTTAAGTAATCGTGCATTAGAAGTTATAATAAACCAACAACATATACGATCATGATTCATGACATCAAACTTGCAATCACAATCCAAGTAATTATTATTAGAATAACAATAAATCACATTGACAAACAAATGGACAACCTTCTCTTGGCGCCCAATTTAGCGGCCCAAATTTTACATTTGACTCCATCGATCAACAGTGCAATTACTCAAACTAACCGGTCCACAAGATGAACCAAAATTTCCCAACCAACCTTAATTAAACCCATAAAATAACCCAAACCAATTGGAGAAGAAAAAAAATCTACCTCACAACCTTACAATCAAGCCTAACCTCCTGCCCACCAGTAAGACTGCTCATCTTAACCATGGAAGCAGCAAACGCCTTCCCGAATTCAGCCTCGGACGCCGCGAATTTCTGCACCAGAGACTTCGCCTTAGGGTTGGTGAGCAAAGCCTGGTCCGACGAGAATATGCTTTTTCCTCCGAGCAACATCTTGTAGTAGACATTGTCGAACCCGAACGTGGTCGAGTCCATGGTCGAACCGGCATTCTTGGCCTTGTTCTGCAAGGGGCAGATCCTCCTCAAGTTGGCCGCGAACGACGGGCTCAGGGTCGAGTCCACGTCGACGGTGGCGCTGAAGTTGTGGATCCTGTTCTGGAAGGACGAGCAGTGGGCGAACCCGAGAGTGTGCCCTCCCGAGAGGGCGACGAGGTCCTCCAGGGAGAGGCCTCTCTGGGAGAAGCTCTGCTGGAGCTGCGAGATGTTGAAGACCGGAGCTGGGAGCTGTCGGGTCTCGCTGGCCTTGGAGATTCGCCCGTCCTTTCGGCCCTTGGGAACGGCCCAGTTTGGTCCTCCAGACTGCAGGAATATGTACAAAATTACGTGAGATAAAAAAAATAATATCAGAGCCTGGTTTCGATCCAGGGACCTGTGGGTTATGGGCCCACCACGCTTCCGCTGCGCCACTCTGATGATACAAGATTAATTTTCAATTACAACCCAAATAATTATGTCCTTTTGGGAGATACTTACCAAGGCAACAGCATCTCTGGCGGCCAGAGCAAGAATATCAGCACATGAGACAACTCCCGGGCACATTTTTTCCACGGCTTCCTTTGCATGGTCAATTACATAGAATGCGTGGAGGGAAACATTTGGCGGCCCATCTTTCTCAGCTACGTTCTTTTTGGTTGACTTGAGCAGCACAGAGGCGTCACAACCCTTCAAATCACCCCCACAAAAAAATCAAACATGGTGTCAAATTATGTTTGATAAAAATAAAAATAAAAAAGGTTAGTCCGACGATGGAAGAATGTCGTCTAAATTCGAACCTTAAGACTAACATCATCGATCAATATAGTAATATCGAACTAAGCCAAAGTAAAAGGAAAAAAAAATTGTTTTTTCGACGTACCCTAATGAAACAATCATGGAAGTGCATCCGGAGGATGGCAGCGGGGACGGTTCTGTCGTTCTTCATGGCTTTCTTGACGGCGTTGGTGACGGCGGACTCGAAATTAGGGCAAGTCTTGTCGTAGTAGTTCAGGCTAAGTGAACTAACAGAAGAAGAAGAAAGGATGGTGAAGATCATAAAGAAGGCTAGAAGAACAGAACCGGCCATGGCTGCCATGTCTTTTCTTTTCTCTTGTTGTTTGTTGTTTCTACTTCTTTGGTTGTTGCTTTCAATTGTAGGGTGGAGGAGTCAGAACAGAGATGGAGATGCTACTTATACATGGAAGAGTTGACGGATTTCAGAAAACAAATGGCCATGCAGCAGAGAGAGTTGTTGGTTGGGGATTAGAGTGGTTAGCATATTTGGTGATCCGAAAGTACTATTTGGTGGAGAGGTAGTAGTGGAAACACAAAGGGGTTTAGTTATTAGTTGTTGATGGGAGCTTTCATATTGAGTTGATATCACATGGAGATTTGGAATAATTTGATGTAAGGGGTGAAGGATAGGAAGTAGTTATTTGGTTAGGATGTTAACAACCTCGTTTAGGATGTAGCAATTATTGTTCTTTTACAAACATTCCATATCTCCAATTTTTCAAGGTCCACATTTCAAGTCTTTGTATCATTGAAATTGGTAATTTCTTTTGTGGTTTTCACTTGAAAATTAAGAAATATGTGATACTACGAGCACTTGGATCGGTAAAATATAAACAAGATAGGTTTGACGTCGTTCAATTTCAATAACATCGTCATCAGTTGCTCTGTTTATATAGCAAGAGGATGGGGGTGATGTGTGAGAGAGAAGGGGATAATTAAGTAGCAAATGTGACACATGGGCTCATCTCCTACTACAATTCTACATACAACTTAGCCATGTTTTAACGAGATTAGATAAATATGAAGGATTATTGTTAATGACTCGCGATATAATATTTATTTCGAAAGAGAAGGAGAACCGTTAATAATATATTTTTACCAAAATATAAATAGGAAATTACTAGGAACAAAACCACCTAGTCTGTTAAACTTTAAACTTCAAATTCCTTAACTCCACCTAAAATTCTAACTGAAATTTTACTTAAAGCTTCCACTTGGACCAACCGTACATATAAAAACAAACCGCCTATAAGTAACAAACCACCTAACGAGTGAACAAACCAACAAACAACCATGTCAACAACCTATATCGGTTTGGCCTTGTCAAAATCAAAGTGGTTTAAGTACTCCAAATTCGACGACAAGGGTCTGTTATTTGACACAGACATGCAGTAAGTGAAGAAAAGAAAACTAGAAAAGGATTTGTGATCAAGTAATTAAAATATTAATGCATGGGAAAGAGCAGCAGAAGTAGAGATGTTGTCATCCCTAAGGGTAGTGGTTGACCTGCAACTCCAAAAGCTTCATATTCAAGCAAGAGACTGTCCCTTCCGATGTGGGGCACATCGATTAGGTCATTTGGAAGAAGGTGTCCGAACGGAATTTGCGTGTTGAGTGGGATGGAAATGGTCAAATGGATCGTGGGTTACGTTGGGATGGTTCTATTTAAATGGCCATTAAGGATGGTGATTTGCTCGAGCGGGGTGGGTGTATGTTGACCTTAATTGGTGTACGTCCATATAATAATAATCGAAAAGTTTGCATCTCATGCATTGCATATTGTGTATTAATGACTTTGTTTTCATGAAGAAACTTTTAATGTGTGATTATGTTGTATTTTATGATGGTGAAATTGTGAGTGATGGTTAATGAATTGATGTACGAGATTGAGGTTATAAGTTTATGATATGAGTAAAGTCAATGCATGACTTGAATTAATTGCTGATTATTAGGAGTATTATAACTAGATTTATAATAATGAGGAATTAGATTGAGATGGAGCTTACTTGATGGATGACATTTGATGACTTATAATTTTAAGTGAATTGGACTACATGCTTAAATTATTTGTGTGTGCATCATGTAGTCTTCACTTTGTAGGTAGGATCAACCACACATTCAGTTCAGTTGACCCGCGTGTTTACAGTTATGATAGATGTGAGAAATCGTGAATGAACTTTGAATTGTATATATATATCTATCGATGGAGGATTTGATTTGAAGATTTTTTTTATAAGGCTGACATATGTTCATATGTAATGTTAGATGTTGTTTAATGGATTTTAACTTTGGGGCCTCCAGATTAAGGGTTTGTTCTAGTGATTTGAAGGTTTTTACCAATC